TAGTTAATACATCAAACAAAAAATTGATGTTATTTTCACAAGATATTTAGTCTTCCGAAGGTAATGCGGATTCTCCTGTATGCCCAGGCTCATCTTGCCAAGAGGGCTAGGCAGGCAGACAGGTAGACATGCAGGCAATTATCTTATATATAATGACTCCTCAAATAGCAAAGGGCTTTAATGGATGTCGTAGTCTTGCACTTATGATTAATTTCCATAGGAGATGGTATAAGCAATCTGAATAATCAGCATTTCAGATGGAAAAGAAACAGTCACGTTCTTTCATGCAAGTCCATCTTCAGCAGGGAGCTGCTGTGATTCAGAGCCAGAAGGAGCAATGTTCTGAGCTCTGACGAGCCCTGGTCCACCGACTGCTGCATGTCCCAGAGCCGGGACACTGGCCAGATACTACTTGTAGCTAATCAGTAGCAGCAACTAGAATGAGAGTAAGTGTCCTCAAGAACCTGCTCAACTCTTTGCCCTTCAGAGTATTAGTACAAGTAGACTTCCAGGGAATCCTTCCAGCACTCCTGCTTTCCCCTTCCCAAAGCCTTGGCTTGTCTATCCTCAAACCAAAGAATTACAGAGCAAAATCCATGTCCAGGCTGGGACAGAAGTCTATTTAATGAGATCCCAATGTACTTTATGGGGAATGTGTCTATTGGAGAAGTATACATGCAGACTGTTAATGCTGTTACTATTTCGTCTTGTCAAGAATGATGGATAAACGCTGCAGTATTCCTACTGCATAATACAACACTCTCCATAGAAATGCAATGGATACTGCAGTATAATGCAAAATATACTTAAAGTCAGAGCATCAGTGTGTAATTAATGCCTTCACCGGGCTCTTACTTGGGCCTCTTAATCCCATGTCAGTTTTGCTTCTCAGTAATTGTTCCAAAAATGTCCCATTTTATGATAACTTGGCGTAAGCAGAGTATTTGCAGTAGCTTTTTTTTTTTTTTTCAGTATTCTTTTAGTATTTTCTGACTGGAATATCCAGAACTTTAGCATAACTATTCCTTCAGCTATTAATAATAGCTTATCCTTTAAGCTAGTTACGTGAAAAAGGACATTTCTATATTTTATAAAAGTTCTAGTTTTCTATAGGCTTAACCCAGAGACAGACCAAAAACTAAGTTTGGCGTATCACCCTCAATTCTTCGCCATATGTATATAAAGTACTGATTTATGTATATAAAGTACTGATTTATAAAGCTGTACAGATCACCTCTGCAGCCCTACAAAAGAAAAAAAAAAAAAAAAGCCTTTCTAAAATTCACAATGATTGCAATTCTCTAGAAATTGAGAAATTATCTTAAGGATATATCTAATCCTTTACCTACTCAGGGCCAGGTTACTCTTTCTAATCCGTAACGGATATTTGTCTAAGCTGTTCCTAAAGCCTTCAGAACAAAATGAGGTATTTCAACCTTCAAATGACCACAGATAGAGCAGGCAGAGAAGCTGTAGCCATATAACACCTACTTTAACTGACCATATTCAGACCCACTCCCAGTCCAGTATCAGCGATGCCCCCAGCGACTTCATATGGGACTGGGATGAACCATGGGAAGGAAAGACATAGAGTGAAACAGATCAGCTTGCAATATTTGGGCGAATCCCCTGTAGCAGAAGACTTCTCAGCTCATTGCATGGCTGAGCTTTAAAAGTGGCTGAAAATGCAATTAAAATAAAGACCTTGCTCTCAAAAGAAACCTCAAGAACCGTGTTAAAGAAAGAAACTTAATTTGCAAGAGCAGCTCTGGATCAGTCCTCCACCAGAACTACTCAGGCCTGGGTCTAGTTTTGGCACTGGTAAATTTTCTCTGAGGCTTTTCAAGCCTCCAAATAGCTGATGGGCACCAACTCCCCCATTTTTTTTTTTGATGGCGGTGAAATTATCCAGTGAATCAGAAAGCTGAACAGCCCCAGCCCAAACTTTATAGGAGGGTTTAGTACATACTCTGATCCCTTGCTTGTTCAGCCTCTCAAAAGCATTCTTTAATTAGTCAAAAAATAGCAAAGAATCCAAAATGACCAAATACAGCTGCCTTACCACTATTATATGCTGTGAGTTTCAGTTTCAGTGAACTACGCACCCCGTCTCCTCTGAAGGACATTGAGACACATAATGTGAAACAACCATACATAATAAAACATTTTTTATTTCATATTGCCACAACCCCTCCTGAATTTATGCATTACATTCACCAGCAAAAATGCATATGTGCCTGAAATAAAAGATGATGAGACAGGAATGTCATTGCATTTACTACTATTTCCTTGAAATTTCACATACATTACCATTTCACACTGTAGATATCATCATATTTTTACTTGCCCAGGGATAGGTCCAGGCCTGAATATATCTCTCAAAAATCATGATACAATGAATTAACATAAGAATGTTAAATTTAGAGAAAGAAATTAGAATAGTTCCAGTTACTGAACGCTTATACTCCATTAGTTCTTAAGCATTATATTAGAAGCTTTCGCTCCTGCGGAGTAGTGACCTGTACCCTGAAATTCTCTTTGCCACGGTCACACACCCCACACTTCATGCCATAACTTCTTTTCCTGGTGCACAAACCGTGACTCATTTACACAGCACTATCAGCATCAGTAGCAAATATTTTAACTTCCTCAGCTCCGTGACCAACTGAGTTGTCTGCAATTAAATATTTAAAACCGCTATTATCTTCTTCAATCAAAAATCTCCTATGAACAATGTTAATTAAATTATCAGAATGCCATTTTTGTTAGTAATATCAAGAAAAAGGTTTCTGAAGCAACTTTGCAGCTTTTGGCCACGCAGATGAAGTAAATATATGACTTGAATATTCAGAACTTAGAAGAACGTGCAACAGAATGGCTCAGTGGTTACCCGTGCATTGTTCTGATATATAGATATACATAGAGAGAATAATTACAACGATACTGCACTCATACCAAATATCTAATACATAGGAATGTATCATAATGGCACATTATTGGCAGCTGTTAGTAACAAACTACATAAGTATAATGTAAAATTATTTTCTATATTCTTTGGCTTTTGTTAATAGAAATGTGTCCATTAATAATTTCATGAACAGCCACTAATAAGCAAGTCAAAACATGTAATTGCTACAAAAATCAATATTAATGAGTTGTTAACCATTTACTAGATGCGACACCAGGACACAACTTCAAATTCTTAATAAAATACAGTATAAATGAACTTCATTATCTATGTGTTCTGTGTGGTTTAGAGCAAATGTTTGTTTAGTACATTTTACTAAATTCTATGGTAATTTATTAGAGCAGACATTAATTTTACCATTGGGAAGTTTTCATATTCATATATGATAATACAGAAAGGAGTGGGAATCAACATGAACCTTACAAGGTGTATTTGAGCATAAATTAAAAGGGCATGAATAAAGATGAGGTATTTTATGTGCTATCACATTCCAAAGCATAGGCTAAATATACAAAATGCTACATATGAAAACCAAACATACTTAATTTACACTAACATAGGATTCTATTTTTATTCTATTTATTTTTCTGATCTGTTGTTCATCTCAGCAGCCAGTCTGACCCAAACCACGACAACATTAATCACCTAATTTAAAGAGTTAAAATACAAAATAATTACAAGACGGTTATAGCACAATAATTATTCAGCACTGGAAGTTCTCAGTCCTCTGCCATTTAATCCAGAGCAATTTATACAGATACATGATTTACTGCAGAATACGCATTTAAACACTTCTCTAAAAAACACTCACCTGCAACTTCAGAAAGCTTTAGTATGGGCTAAATACTGCTTTGGCCAGTTTAACGTTTGGGTTTTTTTGGACCAGTGCTAAAACCAATATACTGACACAAATTTTGATTTTGTGCAATGCTCATTGAACAAGGACTACAAAAAAAGTAGAGCCTTCAAGAAAAGAAATTATTCCTATCACTGTGAATAAGAATTGTCATTTTTTTATGACAGCCTGTATCCTTACCTGGTTATATAAAAATAACTACTTGTAGTTTTGTGAAGTCAGCAGTATTACACCATTAATTCCAGCTGGCTTTTTTCCTTTTTTTTTTTTTTTTTTTTTTTTATAGAGCTTATTTATGGTGCTTGCTTAGATTTTACTATGACAGTTCTAGAAATCTGTTCACGTGAACTTTTAAATTCTATTTTAACTTTCTGAACTATACCATTAATTCTATCTTTTACTGTATATTGTCACATTGGATTGTAGCAGAACCCCAGAACCTATCCCTGAGTTTCTGGTTTTGAACATGCGAGCTGTTGAGGTTCATCAACAATCATTTGCCTAGCAGTAAAGTCTACTGACTGACAACACCTGACGTGTTAATCACTCATGGTATCCAAGATTTGGGCTTAACATGGCAGCCTTATAACTGTCCCCAAGGCAGACTGTAATAAGTCTTCTGAATAGTAGAGCCGAGACATTAAAAAAGTTGACCACCAATTTCTACTTAAGATTTCTCATCGCCACAATTTGGTAAATACACTCTTAAACAGTAGATTGTAAGAATAAAATCCCCTCAAAAGCAAGTCCTCAATGCAAAATAATGCTCACAGCATATAGGATGTATTTTTCAGTGTTTTTCTTCGGCTTTTTTGTTTAAACAAAAGTTATAAGGAAAAAAAATATTCTGGCAAACAGTGTGCTGCCCAACCTTTGCTCCCTAAGAAGGGGCTTCCTCATCCTACTCTTGGTATAACCATTTCCATCATCCAAGGTTAGTAATCATTAAAGACAAAGTCTGAAAACCTGTATGAGATTTTTACTCACATTTGCTTCACACAAAGTATTTTTAAAATGAACTTGAAACATACATTAAAATATGCCTCTATCAATCCATTTTTGTTTCATATGTATTCCCAAGAACGAGGAAGTTATGGTTTTCTTTGAACGAAAAAAAAACACCCACAGCAATATAGCAGAAGGTTAAAGCATTTTTTCCTCAGCAAATTGACTTACCCCGGCAATGTACTCCTTCGTCATACCCATCAGAACAGTCATAAACACCATTGCAGAGCTGCGACAAGTGAATGCATTTGTTTGTACCAATGCAGTTAACATAATTCGGGGTGCACTTGAAGTCTGCTTCCTCGGGACCTAAAAAAATACACAGAAAATTTCTTATACATATTTTTATATCTGCAAGGCCAAGAAATGTCTATATTGCATTTCCCTTTTAAAGCTAAGAGCAACACTCCATGTATTAGTCTATTCTGCAGTTTTTTAGTGCATTATCATTGCTATGTTTAGGAGAATTAAAATCACTAAGAAATTATTAGTGCAATTAAAAAGAAATCAGTGGGTCAGAGAGGATTATTTCCCAAATATACAGGTGTTTTACAGATGCTAAAATTAAGCTTTGCAAACATTATAAAGTATCATAAAATTTGCAATTGCCTTATGAATATCATATCACATCCAGAGTCATATCAAGTGTAATAAGTACCAGTATTTACATTCACTGTTGCGCTATGTAGATAATTTTAGATATTTATGAAATTACATATAAATGTTACATATTTATGGCTGAATTAGATCAGAGACACTGTTCCTCCAGCTCAGGAGTCTGTCTCTGAAACTGTGCAGTACAGGATGGTAGGGAGAGGACAAGGATGCTGGGATTGCTCCTTTTAGGATACCATCCCGGCTGCAATCACTCTGTGTCGCCTTATCACTGAAGTCTTAAGTACAGGGATTTTTGCGGAAGTTCGGGGATTTTTGAGGATCTCTTTTGTTTACCTCTTAGAGAGGGTTCTGACTGATTGATTAAAAAAACCCCAACAAACATAATTTCACATGATAAAGACTTTGAGATTAACACACTGCAAAGAACATTTCGAGGTCTGAAGGGTTTAGCTCATTTAGAGGATGAATCATAATTTATACACAGTATATGATTAGCTACACAGACTGAAGGTGTGGAAATTCTTCAGGAAACAACTTAAAGCTCCTCGATCGCATGTGTTGGAGCCTGGAGTCTGTGTTAAACTCTGACAGCTTGTAACGGTCCTCAAGGGAAATATACCCTAGGACGTACTGTGCTCAAGTGTAATATGCTTTCACCTTCTTCAAGGCACTAACTCCAAGACGAAGGACAGAAATCACAGGCAGTAGCTGAAAGCTGCCTTCTAAGTGGGAAAATCTCAGCTTTGGCAGATCTGGTCTCTTGCGGTCAGCAGGACAAAGCAAAGGAGAGCTCTGAGGGGAATTTACAATTTTTAAACAAATAGAGACAGTTGTTAGCCCAGCCTGCTAAATAAAAATCCTAACTTAAAAAAAAAAAACAAACAAACAAAAAAAGAAACAACAAACAAAACCAAACTTGTCCCAACTAGAAAACTCTCATTAAAAATTTCCACTGCCGTGCTACATGTCAGGAAGCTGTCCACATTTTAGGACGGGCACAACAAATACCGATTTTCAGGGTATTCCTCTATGAATTCTATGAATTCTTCTGTTCTCATTAGCAGAGGGAAGGCGCTCCCCTTCCCCAAGCAGAGCAGGCACCCACAAAGCGTACGCGTCCGCTGCGCAACAAGGCAGGACGTGCAGCATCCTGCTTCCCTCCTCTGACCCTTCCAGCTGCCCACCTCGCCCCAGTGAAGTGACACCAATTATATCCTCAGTGTATCACCGATTAACAGAAACATAGTGCACTGGTACCAGGGATGAAAAGGCAATGTATATGGGGATGAATGCGCTCTGTCTCAAAAAATTTATGTGCTTCCAGGATCAAAAAATAAACCTTTTTTTTTTTTTTTTTATTATGGCCATAAGCTACGCACGGTTTTTCAAGAAAACTGCATTCCTAAGCTATGGATAAGGAGTTTAAATACCTTTTGAACTCAAAGAACTACTCTCACTATGCTCTAGGTTAAATAACTGCTTAGCAAATATAGAGGTATTAAAACACTTCACAAAGGATATATTTTCCCTGTATTTTCCAGTAAAATATAAGAGGACGTTAACAACAGAAAGTTGAGAGATGATTACAACTTATCCTAGATGTTAGGATTTGAATACCACGGTAACAAGAATCAGAGAGGTGTGACCTCCGGGTGCTGGCAGAGCCCCCCCCCGTACCATGCAAGAAAACGAGGGATGGGGGCAATACGCCTCTATGCCCTTCCCAGGCAGCACGGCCACTGCGCGGAGATAGTTTGTGGTTTTTTTTTCGCTTGGGCTTTGGGCAATTTACTCTGGTTTTGTTACCTGGAGGTAAGACACTTCATCCCATGAAGCATCTCATGCACAAAAAGCTCTCTATAGCACCTAAAACCTCCAGCAGTGCCCAGCGTTCCTCCAGGTCTGGTTTAAGTCTGCAGAGCTTTCAAAGAAGAACTGAAATGAAGCAGCTTAGGATAGTCAAGTGCTCAATGTCAGGTAGGGCCCATAAAACTGATAGGTTTAATTTGATTTGCCCAGCTCATGAAAGATATGGACCTGTTGAAGCAGGTCCAGAGGAGGTCATGAAGATGCTCTGAGGGCTGGAGCACCTCTTCTATGAGGAGAGGCTGAGAGAGTTGGGGTTGTTCAGCCTGGAGAAGAGAAGGCTCCAGGGCAACCTTATAGTGGCCTTCCAGTCCCTACAGGGCCTACAGGAAAAATGGGGACAATTTTTTTAGCAGGGCCTGTTGTGATAGGACAAGGGGTAATGGCTTTAAACTAACAGAGGGAAGATGTAGACTAGATATGAGGAAGACATTTTTTTCACTGAGGGTGGTGAAACCCTGGCCCAGGTTGCCCAGAGAGGTGGGAGATGCCCCATCCCTGGAAACATTCCAGGTCAGGTTGGACGGGGCTCGGAGCAACCTGATCTAGTTGAAGATGTCCCTGCTCGCTGCAGGGGGGTTGGACTAGATGACCTTTAAAGGTCCCTTCCGACCCAAACTATTCTATGATTCCAATTTCAGCCACATCAGGACTCGAAGGTACCTAAAATTTAACAAAAACAAACTAATGTTTCTGATTTTACATTTACAGCTTGCTTATTCATTGCATTGCAGCAACTGTGAAAAGAGTGTGAGTAAAAAAGATCTCTTCCTCTGAACCAGAGAATATTCATTAAAAAAGCCCTTAATCTGTGAAGTATGTAAACCATGGCACTTGCATTACTTACGTATAAACCCATGATTGCTAAAGGGCTTTCAGCATCGACAGATATACTTGGTAACCACACTTTATCAAACAGACAACTGAAATCTGTGACCAAAAATATATAAGCATTTATATTTCTCTTCTGAATTTAATGAGTGAAAAGAATGAATCTCTTGGTTAACATTTAAAATCTCAATAGGACTAGTCTGATATGCTCCTGTCTAAAGACTTTAGGATTTAATCTTGATTTGATGCTTCTTGCTTTTAAAATACAAGATCCCTTCAGGACACAACCATACTGCGATTTTGAATGCATTATCTAACTTAAAATCAGTAGTAGGGGGGCTTCCTAAATTAGATTTTTTGGAGAGGGAACAGTATATGAGGGGAAACTGAAATACGCTCCAAGAAGTATTACTCACAACGTTTTGTTTTCAAGAGAAATTTTGTGCACCACTCGTGAAAACAGATTAAGATTAGAAGCGATTATCTTATTCATGTGATTAAGATAAATTCATATATACTGTTTCTTTACTAGCATGAGGCAACCCAACTTACAAGTGAAGATGAACCTCAGTCCAAAAAAGCCCTATTTTGTAGAAGACTTGTGCCTTATTTTGTAGAAGACCTGTGTCTGCAAAATGACACTAAAAGGTAACAGGTCTCAATCATCCAACAATGTCACTGGAAGAAGACAGCATGTCCCGAGGTCTCCCTGCCCACCATTCCTCCCACCTTCCATGAATCAAACAATTAAACCAAACAAAGCCGCGTGTTGTGATGCCTTTGAAGCAGCACATGTGTTTCTCACTGAATCCTACCCAGCTGCTGCACATTCTGAAACGTCCGATGCAAATGAAGACGAGTAGCTTTTTATCTCCTTTACTCCTCTTCCCCTCTTCCTTTACCAGACTGCCACTTCTGACAGTGTTATCAAGTCAACTTTGGGAAAAGGAATTTAAAAGTGTTCTTCTTCAAAATAATCTCAGTGTATTTTACATCAGTGCAAGAATGCTAAGAATATAAAAGACGGATGGTGTCTTTTTTTTCCCCCTCAAAACCCACAATAATTCCTAGCCTTGCCAGTTGGTGGAAAAATAGTCAAAGCTCCTGGCTGCAATTACCGTAATATGCCGTCTCGAGGTTTCAAACACTCATACCGGGACACCGGTTGGAAGGCGAAGAGGATGGAAGCAGTGTTGCTCATGCAGTGCTGTGCATCTCGAGAGCCTCTGGCTCAGGAAACGGAATATCTAACTGTCCCTTTGGTGCAACTATCTCGTTATAGATGGCTGAATGAGAAATGGTCAAAAAGCTGAGGTGCGGAAGGGTGAGCCGGGGCTGTGGGGGATCCCCCCGGTGCTGGCAGCCAGGGTCCTCCCAGCCCAGCCAGGGGGTGGCCGGGGCAGCCCCAGCCTGGGACACCGGGAACCTCTGTGGGGCTGAGCCACGATGGGTGGGGGTCAGGATCAGGCCTGGTGAGGCTACTAAGGTTCGATGGAGCCCTGGGAGGGCCAGGCAGGACCAGGTGGACAGATTACTGCCTCTTTCCCCAAATTCTCCAGAAGGCAGGCTGCGTCCAGGAGCAGACAGGCTGAAAAGAGGACAGCGATTCATTTCAGATCCAGATTTCTTTGGCTGTTGAATTGACTGGGATGACCGCGACAGCCACGGTGTGTCAAGGCTCGCTGCACCTTCCCAGCATGTGAGAAAGCACGGAAGAGAACTGCACCGTGTTTTGGCAATACCTGCGCAGCGCACAGTGAATCCAGCTGAAGGCCCTTCAACCAAAATAACTGTACATCAGCGGGGGTTGAGTAGAGGAGAGTCCTTGTCACATCCTCCAGCGGGAGACGATGGAACCGATGAAACACAACCTCTGGTTTCCCACCAAAGAAGCATCGTGAGAAAGCATTACAGGCCGCTGTCAGAATTAGCAGAGACATTTTACCATGCACTCTCGATGTGGTATCTCTCTTGAACTTGTGCTTAACGCAAAC